GGTATAAATTGTAATGAAAAATAAATTATGAAAAAAATCATTTAGAATGTTAAATAAAATTAACGAGCGTTACCTTGAGAAGATTTCACCTAATCTAACTTAAAAGAAGAAATTCTGTGGAATATATCGCGTAAACGGAATGGAATAAAAATGTGAAAAATCAGAAATCATTTGCAAAGTGAAATAAAATTGACGAGCATTACCTTGACAAAATTTCAGCTAATCTAACTTGAAATAAAAAATTGAGAAGCTCCTTAGTCTGAAATTGTCTTGAAAATTGAACAAGGCTAACGGGTATACGTATGTATTACCTTGACAAAAAATTCCAAGGTATTAAAAATACAAAGAAAGTAGAAAGTGACAGTGGAAGAAGAAGGGAAAAAATGACGAAATTGAAGAAGCGATCACTTATCGACGTTCGTTCTCTGGTCAGTCACTATTTAGCCATTGAATGGCAAGGTCGTGGAATTAATCGTGGCTTACATAATGGCGTGTAACGATGACTATCGGGAGCAGGAAGACGAGCCGTGTTTTCTGGTCAACGCTGGTGATCATGGGAACGAAAGAATGTTAATTAAGCCCACGGCTAATTAGGCCTGTTTAACGAGCGAACTGATCGCGATCACGACCATTATTATCGCCGATAATTATTTCGTAAACGCAATTCAAACTCGACGGACGAAATTTATTCTTTCTTTCCTTAAATCTCTCAATGAACATTGTTTAAATAGTCAAAAAGTTTGGAACTGAATTTTAACGAAAATAGAAATTATTATTTCTCTATTTTGAATCGATAAATCTGTAAATTTTTTGGACTAATCACAAAGTTTTCGAATTGGAGTTTACTGAAAATTGAAATTATTGTTTTTCTATTTCGAAATCAATGGAAATTCGTTTTCTTTCGTTCGATGAAGCTGTAAATTTTGTTTGGATAATCAAAAAGCTTAGAATTGAAATTGAATGAAAATTGAAATTATTGTTTTTCTATTTCGAAATTCATGGAAATTAATTGGAACAGTCAGAAAGTTTTCGAATTGTAATTTACTGAAAATTGAAATTATTGTTTTTCTATTTCGAAATCAATGGAAATTCGTTTTCTTTGGTACGATAAATCTGTAAATTTTTTGGACTAATCACAAAGTTTTCGAATTGGAGTTTACTGAAAATTTAAATTATTGTTTTTCTATTTCGAAATCAATGGAAATTCGGTTTCTTTGGTTCGATAAATCTGTAAATGTTATTTGGAACAATCACAAAGTTTTAGAATTGAAATTGAATGAAAATTGAAATTATTGTTTTTCTATTTCGAAATCGATGGAAATTCGGTTTCTTTGGTTCGATAAATCTGTAAATGTTATTTAGAAGAATCACAAAGTTTTAGAATTGAAATTTAATGAAAATTGAAATTATTGTTTTTCTATTTCGAAATCAATGGAAATTCGTTTTCTTTGGTGCAATAAATCTATACATTTCGTTTGGATTATCGAAAAGCTTAGAATTGAATTTTAACGGGAATGGAAATTATTTTCATCGGAATTTTCATAGGAATTTTCACTTATTTCGTCGTCAAATTTATCACCTACGTTTATCGTAAGTGTGATTTCTGGCAAAAATTCAAAAGGACAAATGACAAATTTGAGACTCTCATGATCCCTGACCTGAGAATTTTTTCTGAATGGCAGGATCGAATTTTTCTGACCTATTTTTCACGCAGTTGACTTAAGAAAACGCCTCTTGCTTGCGATAAATTTAATTCTCCTTTGACCAGCGGCCTGAAAAACGCGATATATTTTTCAGTTTCTCTTTCGAAGCGTTGTTCCCTTGTTTCGAGTATCCTTTGAATCCTTTTAAATCGAATTATTCCCTGTGCACAATATTTCTCGTGTGAAATATTTCTTTCATCTTTGAAACTCTTGTTAAAATCATTTTTACCATTATACTAGCATATACTCGATCAATTTTTTCTTTCGTTTTCGGTAAAATAAAAAAGAGAAGCTTCTATCAATTTCCAATGGTAAATAAAATTTTCGACTAAACGAAAAATTCGCGAATAAAAGAATCCATGTGAAAACTATCGTTCTACTTACTGTCTGGTTTAATTATATGTATTTATGGGACACCGTGGCCCAGAAAACGTTTAATTCGACACTCTTCTGACGATGTAATGGGAAACCGTCGTTAGTGTAACGAAGAAATTCGACGAACACACTTTAAATGGTATTTATATCATGGTAATGTGCAACGAGGAGGACATTTTCTTCCTGAAAGTTTCGAAACTTGGTGAAAATTATAGTGAAACTTGCTTCCGGAACAGATTTGGTGTATCTTGAATTATACTTGAACTCTGGATTAAGTTTCGCGGTACTTGAAATAATTAATGTAGCAGTAAAATGGAGAATACGAAATAATTATTCTCCAGAACTTACTTTTTCAGTTGTCATTAATTATATGGACAATTAAAATCCAATAATTGTGTGTACTTTTAGAGATTTAGTAAATTGCGCATAAATTTGATTCTATTCCACTTTTTTGTTTTTTTTTTTTTTGTTACTTCGTATTCTATATAATCTGAAACTATGGGAGCTTGTGTGTCTATAAATTTGAAGGTCTCAAGTTGAATTTTAAATGATATTGTGTTGCAATTGGATTATTATAGAAATGATTTTTCTTTTTCAATTAATTTCGGAATTTTAACGAGCGAGGAAATTTATGGAATATATACCGTGTCCGTTTAATTCTGCATTTTCTGCTACATTTCCTGCAATGCGATGCAAATTTCTGATGCAAATTACGCATGTTGTCATTGCGTCGCCAGTGGAATGCGAAAGATTGAAATCTTCTAATGTAATTCATCAGATCAACATTAAAATCTCGTCTCTTTTTCTAGAAGGCGCAGAAGAGATGTTAAAAGTTAAAGAAAAGAAGACAAAAGAAATATCAAAAATTGAGAAAAATATGCAGAATTCGTCTCTGTTTCAAGAAGACAAAATAAATATTAAAAATAAAAGAATATATTCAAAATTCGTCTATTTTTCTAGAAGACAAAAAGAAATATTGAAAATAAAAAGAATAAGATATTCAGATGTCGTCTCTTTTTCATGATTTCAGTTGAATAACGAGAAAATTGTTATTTCTTTTTGCCAACAGTTTCGACGTGGAAAATGGCGCCTCGACTCTGGATGGTGGCGCCGGGGGCGGTGGAGGCGCCTCGCCGAGTGCAGGCTTGGTTCTCCAAACTCTGCCGCAGCGACGAGAGAGCTTCCTGTATCGCAGCGACAGCGACTTCGAGATGTCACCGAAGTCGATGTCTCGAAACAGTTCGATCGCCAGCGAGAGGTGAGCTGCTCTCCGAGAAATTCCACTTTTAGATGATTGTACATTCAAGAAAATTGTTTTTTTTTTCCTCTTTCTTTCTGTGTTTTGGTAACGGAGGAAGATCTAACCTTGTAAATAATTAAACGGGAAATTTACAATGTGTGTTGTTCAAGCTTCGATCAGAGATCTTTATGGAAAGAACGGTGTACAAGTAGAAATGGTCAGCCATGGTCAGACACTGGGCATTTTACTTTTAATCGAGAAAGAATTTAAATGTCATTTTTTCAGTAAAATTTGTACTCTTTATTAGGATATCGTTCCACTAATTCACAATTTGAAATACAGACACTGGTAATAAATTGTTGAATCGTTATTAAGTAGGAAAAAATGTTTTTTTTAGTCAACCGCCAGTTTTATACGTGAAATGTGTAATAGAGGGAAAGGGGGAAAAAATGAAGAAAAATGCCTGAGGTGGTTTTACGTTTCGTTTGACAGGAAAGAGCACGTTACCGGAGTTTAATTTTCCATTTACACTGATTGGCTTATTGAAGTAATCAACCCGCCTCTCGCGAGCTCGACGGCGCGAAATTCATAATTACTGGTTATTCAACGGCGAACTATGGCTCATAATTAGCCAAAGCTCGGTGTAATTTACGCCCACGTGAATTACAGATTCCTCTTGACGCCACCGTCGTTAATGAACCCATTTGTACACACGACATTAATAATTGGCGTGTCGTAACGTAGCGTGCACGTGTTCATGAATAATTAAAAGAGAATTTGAAAACAAACATAATGATTCGTTTGTCTGCCATCGATTTATCAACTGTTCCTATCTACGCTGATTAATCAACCCCTGTCTATTGTATCTATTAAAATTTCTAATTAAACGGCGTTGTGTAACTTTTCGTGGAAGTAGTTTGTTTATCGTTGTTCTACGTTATCTACCGTCGATTATTCGCGATATATCGACTGTAATCAAAGTTGCAACTGTGTTGGTAATGCAGTTTTGGATGCATTTGCAACATTTTATGGATATTACCGACGGAGATAAGGTAGGAATCGTTGTAATTTGTTGGACAGTAGCGTTCTCTTCGGGATATTAAGGATACTTTTGAGTATTAATCAGTGTTCTGCTGGCATTGTAGAATATTCTGCCCATATAGTGACCTATATGTTTCTTTTTTTGTTATAAAAAGAAAAAAAATAGAAATTTGAAAATAAAAACTTAATCCAGAAAATGATTGTAAATTAATTATATTTTTCCCTTAAGTTTAGTAGAAATAATTCGAGTATCTGACCATGAACCTACTGATTCTATTGGCACTGAGGAATATATTTTCGGTGCACGCTTTGCACAATTGTTGAAAAAATCGAGAGCAACAGTTTATTTTTCCAAACTTATGCACAGATCGCCTTTTTCGTCAATTGAAGACTGGAGTTATAATACGAACCTTTTTTTTATATTTCTTTTTTAAATAAAATTGTATCCTTGAAATTTATATGGTAGGCACTATGTATAGCCCTTTTTTACGTCCAGTTTTCAATTGTTCGCTGAAACAGTCAATCAGGACTGCAAGTTGCCCACGCAGTAAGCAAAAAAAAAAAAAAGATATCAATTTCCAGACATCTGATCCGAGCACAATTGTAACAATATCGTCGTGTTGTCCAATAACTGTACAAAAATTATCTACGATCTTTCCTCTCTCTATGTGTAGCTTGACAAGAGTATCGTAGCTTTTCATGGTGGCGGTAGTGATGGTGCTTAACGTATACTATTATCCTTTTATTGTTTCACGTATTTATGAGATACTCGTAAACAGCATGCAGCAAGGTGATGAAGAAAAGAGCATGAAAGAATTGTGTAAATATTCCTTCAACTTAACATGAAAAAAAAAATATTATCAAACGATATCTATAATCCAAGTGTAACACTTTCCATTGGAAAAAAAATTTTTCAGATTTCACAAGTACAGCATAAAAAGCAAAAATAATCAGATAAATTCTTGTAAGTCAGGTTTAACACTTTTCCAGCGTAAAGTTGTAAAAATTGATGAAAATTTACAGAATAAAAATATTCTCAAAAAATTCCATCGATCGAATTGATTTCTAGGTTAGGTCTAATTAATTATCTCAAAAAGAGATTTTTCACGCCAAGATTTTCACGCCTTGTTGTACAGCGAAGAAAAAAGATATTTCTTTCTTATCGTTTTTTGAATTATTCGCGAAACATGGGTGCGGGGTGTGATGATGAATCATGTTTGTGATCCTTGGGTTGCAGGTTCAAAGAGACAGAGCTTCCTGTCGAGCGAGCGTATGTACACGATCCTATTATCTTATATAAATCTCTCGTTTCACTTCACATATATACATATATTTATATAAATAGTCACAGAGACACACTCACAGACTAATCAACACCCCTCGCCACGATGATTTTTTATCGCTGTCAGATCGATTCGACTCGCTGCCTCTTTAACCACTTCCTCTTTCTCTCTTTTTCTCTCTCTCTCTCTCTCTCTCTCTCTTTCTCTTTCACTTTTACTATCTTTCTCTGTATTTCTCTTTTTCTGTCTCACACACACGAGAGCATGGAATCATTTGCTGTCCAAACAAAAAAAGAAAGAAAAAATGTATAGAAAAAGAAAAAGAGAATTCTGCCATCGATTCGAAAGTTGAGTAGCCTGTTGATGAGTCGTTGAGTTACAACCTTGTGGCGAGCTTTCATCGAACTTTGCTTTGCGATTGGCTTTCAATTTTCTCGTAGCGTAGCAACATTTTTTTCGTTTTTTTTTTTTCGTTTGATACGAATCATATTTTGGGAAACTAACGATGTAGAGTTTGTCCAATAGAATTTCCCTTGAAGTTAGAACTCCCTTCGAGTGATAAGAAAATGAGGGTACGTCGCTGTTTTGCAAGTGCTCAGAGTGAGTTTTTCCGTATCTTGCGGTGATTTTCGAAATTTCGTTGATTTTAGTTTCTTTTTTTTTTTTTTTTTTTTTTTGGAAAGGAATAACGGAAACAACACGTGGCAGAATTTCAGAATTGATGCAAAATCGGTGCTTGAATATATACATATATATATACGCACATACACACATATACACACTTTACACACTTGCATTGGTTTTCGTTTCTTTCTTCTTCTATTTGCACCGCGAACAATGAACAGAAAAAAAAGAATCACATTTACACGATAAAATGTATTTTCGAAGAGGAACACAGTTTCTAAAGGAGAATATCGGAAATTTGTAGATGTATGAATTGTACAGATCGTCCTTTTTTTTTTGTTTTTGTATATTGTTTAATCGTTGATCGTTAAAGGCGGACGGCTTTTTGTAAAATTTGTACAGTCCGGTGAACAAATGTAAAGTGGAACTGTGTAGGATGCGTTTAACACAAAAATATTTAACAGCATGTTGTCCATAGTGGAACGTTTTCGAATAAAAACCAATTGTCATTTTCAGGATATTTACCGATCAGTATAGGTAAGTCGCATTATTACGTAATTTCAGTATGCTGCAATCGTTGTCGCAAATTGTACACCTACGCTGTTGGTATTACTTTTATTCAAGATATGCAGTATATGTACAGTTTCTCTGTTCTGTTGGAATATTTTAGTAGTATGAAAGCAGCAGCGATGTAACAAATTCTTTTTCAGTGAAATATTTACAATTGGGAGCAACGTTAATTTTAATTTAATGCTAAGGTAATATGAAGTAGAAAATTTATTCGCAAAAAATTTCATTTCTAATGTAAACGTCTAAAAATGGGAAAATTCTCATTTCCCAAAATTCTAACTTTAGTTAAAATAGAATATATTGTAAAATTTCGAAAAATTAGGAAATTCTGCCCGTAATTCTCAGGCTCTTTTTAGTTGCGATAGACTATATTATGAAATTTCGAAAAAATTATATCCCTGATTCTCAGGCTACTTTTAGTTAAAGTAGAGTAATTATAAAATTTCGAAAAATTGCAAAATTATATCCCTGATTATCAGGCTACTTTTAGTTAGGATAAAATAATTATGAAATTTCGAAAAATTGCGAAATTATATCCGTGATTCTCAGGCTACTTTTAGTTAAAATAGAGTAATTATGAAAGTTCGAAAAATTGCAAAATTATATCCCTGATTCTCAGGCTACTTTTAGTTAAAATAGAGTAATTATAAAATTTCGAAAAATTGCAAAATTATATCCCGGATTCTCAGGCTACTTTTAGTTAGGATAAAATAATTATGAAATTTCGAAAAATTGCGAAATTATATCTATGATTATCAGGCTACTTTTAGTTAGGATAAACTAATTATGAAATTTCGAAAAATTGCGAAATTATATCTATGATTATCAGGCTACTTTTAGTTAGGATAAAATAATTATGAAATTTCGAAAAATTGCGAAATTATATCCGTGATTCTCAGGCTACTTTTAGTTAAAATAGAGTAATTATGAAATTTCGAAAAATTGCGAAATTATATCCGTGATTCTCAGGCTACTTTTAGTTAGGATAAACTAATTATGAAATTTCGAAAAATTGCGAAATTATACCCGTGATTCTCAGGCTACTTTTAGTTACGATATTTCCGATATTGCAGGCTATTTTCGAAATAATAAAATATCGAAAAATTACAAATTATGTCCATGATTCTCAAGCTACTTTTAGTTGCGATAGACTAATTATAAAATTACGAAAAATACACGGTGTTAGATATAAATTAGAAAATTAATTCCACGAAAATTTCATTCTTAACCTAACCTAACCTAAAAATTTCAAAATTCTATCCAAGCTAATTTCCGTCACAACAGGCTAATTATAAAACAACGAATTATTATTCATAAAATATTTATCATTCTTCAAAAAATTTTTAGTATCATAATTCCTCTTTACGGTTGCTATACTTCCCAGTTTTATCCGCGTTTCCATGAAATTTGTCGCAGAGTGGAAAAAAAACAGGGGGTAATTAGCATAAAACGCGAGGAAATTTATTCGTGAAACGGTTTTCGAATGGAAACGGTTAAAAGCTGGATAAAATTCGATACTAATTGCCAGTGTATATCCGGATATCCGGTTCATCAGTGGCAGTAAATATTTTCACGGTGTGCAGCGAGTGTACGACAAGTGGAAGTGCACCGCGTGCAAATATTTTTATCTCCTCGAGAGCAAACATCGCGTCGAGTATTCGCTTCGCTCCATCTGTCGTTGCTGGATTATCGCCACTCACGTGTAGTGTTTCACGAGGGAATCTGCATCGTCGAGAGATCCATCGATCTTTGTCTTTTTATCTTCTTCCAGAGCTACGCCTACGAGATTGTCGGGGATCTAAAAAATTCTCGTACTTTATGTCTTTTCCTTGGCGTTTCACGTGAAACGACTGGAAATAATTCCATTGTCTTTTTTACGGTGTTAGAAATTTTCGCAGACGATGTTATTTTCTTTGATAATTCAAGATTTCAGATTGCTTTTTCGTGACCTGTTTTAAGTTTTTGATTAGGAAATTTCGGAACAGAAATTTTCAGGTGAAAAATTATGTCCGAACGATTAAACGGGTTTTCAGAAAATTTTGACGGAGAAATGTTGATAATATTTTAGGAAATGAATTTAATCAGCGTTTTTCTGTCCAGTGGAAATGCTCTATTTAAAAAGTTAGGTATTAAGTCTCGAATTGTTAAATAATTTTCAAAATATATTTATTAGAATTTCGTTAAATTTTTTTTTGTTAAGAA